GTCTAGTGTAGGTCTAGCGTATGTTTAGCGTATATCTGGTGCAGTCTTTCATCAGCGACTTGATGGTCGGTCTAGTGTAGGTCTAGCGTATGTTTAGCGTATATCTGGTGCAGTCTGTCATCAGCGACTTGATGGTCGGTCTAGTGTAGGTCTAGCGTATGTTTAGCGTATATCTGGTGCAGTCTGTCATCAGCGACTTGATGGTGGGTTTAGCAATAGCTCTAGCGTCAGTCTGTCATCGACATCTCTTTTGTGTTGCTAGTGCCGTAAAACTCTTTCTAGAAAAGCTTTGGCACCTGTATGATCTATTTGTGTTTCAAATACTGTAAAAGTGGGTGGTTGGCGGGTGCTGTGGTGTGATTTGCTCCTTCTTTCCTATCAAACATCTTTTGTCTTTATTATCTCTCCTCCTTTTTTATGTTTGTTACTCTCTTGTAACTTATTTGACCTTATTGTGTGGCAAATCCTGAACTCTTACTAAAACTAAACTAGTGGATGGTTGGTGGGTGCTCTGGTGCTGTTTGCTCCTGTCTTTATCTCTCCTCCATCTTTTTTATGTTTGTTACTCTCTTGTAACACCTCTAAACTTCGGCACTTATATGACCTTATTGTGTTGCAAGTGCCGCGTAACACTCTTACTAAAACTAAACGAGAATACTGTAAAAGTCCTATGAAAAGGAAACTGAATATTAATACTCACTGATTTTTTTCTCTTCTGCAGGCCCTTCTGTTCAACCCACCCTCCAACAGCAAGCAGTTTTCCAAAGGGGTGGGGTTCGGCACCCAGGAGTGCGACCTGTACATTGACTGCTTCGTCAGCTGCTTCCGCATCACCCCCCACAACAATGACGTGCTCAAAGTCTGCTTGAACACTGCCTCCCCACCCATGTACCACTACGTTCTAGTCAACGCCCTACACAAGATCATCACACAGGTAGGTACTGTGGAGGCACGCACACACTCGCACACACATACACACACACACACACACATACATGTAGACACATACACGCATGTAGACACACACACTGCCTCCCCACCCATGTACCACTACGTTCTAGTCAACGCCCTACACAAGATCATCACACAGGTAGGTACTGTGGAGGCACGCACACACTCGCACACACATACACACACACACACACACATACATGTAGACACATACACGCATGTAGACACACACACTGCCTCCCCACCCATGTACCACTACGTTCTAGTCAACGCCCTACACAAGATCATCACTGAAGTAGGTATTGTGAGCATGCAAACACACACACATACACACACACACACACACACACACAC